GAGTCATTCTCACCAAATGCACTATTCTTACTGAGTCTCTTTGTGGACTGCGCTAACACAATGGTAATGAACAGAAGTCTCTTGGGGGTGTTTGAACGGATTTATTCAAGTGTACGGACAAGACAAGGCTGGTAAGGTACAATAATTTTTTCCACCTTCTCCATTGTCTGCCTGCTTTCTATGATGAGAAACCTTCTATTCAGTTCTGCTTCTGCAAACTCATTGAAGAAACCCCATTTACCAAAAATAACGATCCTGATCCACAAATCCAGACTTGTTCCTTCAACATGGCATTTTTACGAATCGCAGCTGACAAGCCTTTGGATATTTCAAATAGTGTTCCCTGCGCTCTCTCCACACCAAACGAAATTAAAATATTAACGTAGCAATATTACCGTTGTTATCTTTACTCTCAATGTTAGTATTAATATATTTTCGTTAAAATGAACAATCTCGCGGTCAACTTCCCCTTCCACCAAATCAAATCTTCATGATGACAACAAGTCAATCCATTCCACGAGTCTCCTCACGGAGCACCTTCTTTCATAAAGGAAAGTAAGGAAAGAAAGGTGGAAAAAAGAGTTACTCTTCCACATCTTCCCACTCTCCCTGATACCGGACCTTTTCTTATTCTTTATTTTCGTTGACGCCTCTCGTCTGCAAGTTGGGAGTTGGTTGATGAAGATAAATAAAAAGAAGAGGGATGATTGGTTGTGGAGATCCACTGGTGTTTTTATGGAAGGGATTTTTGGGGGTGGTCGTTAAAAAACCTCCCCCAAGCTATCTCTTTTTTTACCCTGTCCTTATCCTTATTTTTTCCTTGATCGATTAGCTCGTCCGATCATCTCTTGGGGAAACGGCTCGTCTTGGGACGTTTTTTTTTCGAGGGTGATGTCGGGATGAGGGAAGGGATGAGTTCATGGCTTTGCTGAATATATTATATCTCCACACTGATCTCTTTTCATGCCTTCCTGCCTGTTTTTTTTTTTTTTTTTTTTTTTTTTTTTTTTTGGAAACTCTCATCATAGCCGTTATGGTGTGTGTTTAGGATATCGATTTCAACTCATTGGTGATTATCGACGAATAATGGCTGACTTCCAAGGTTTTTAGGTATATACATGGTGAGCTCCTCCTGAATTCAAACAATCCCTCCAACTGTGAAGGTAGCCTCGCGTTTTCTTTTAGTTTCATTTGTGACAATGGATTACATTGATTACATTCTTCTCATCACCATATTTCATGATTTGTGTAGCTGTTTCGATACCCATATGTAAAGCAAAATGCCAAAATTAGTATTCTTTCATAAGCTTTCTATTCTGGGTTTGTATATATATATATGCAGGATATAACCATCAGAATCAAAAACCCCACCACTCTCGCAAGGATAAAAAAACGCCATATCGCTTCTGAAGGAAAACAATTAAAAACTAAATAATTAATCAGACAGCATAGTGGTTTGTGCATGCTCGAGAAGCAAAGAGAGAAAGAGCGGTGTTGATCAGTAGCTGAAAAGCATCGCAAGTATGTATATGCATGCAGAGGTGCTTCCACCTTATAAGTCTATATATCTAAATATGCATAGAGCCACCACCCTTCTTCCTTCTATTAATTATCTTGTCTTTCCATGACTGTCATAGATTCTTACCCGTACTGCGTTAGGTAATGAAATTGCCAATTTCAAAACAGCTGAACGGACATGCCACATTATTGATAATAATATCATGATGAGAGAACAGCGTTTTCGTATATATAGTCAGTAAAAGTGCAGAGGATAAAAATTTGAGATACGTCGTCATAATTATTTATCATTTCATTAAGGCCGGTCGCGGTCTAATCTTCGTGTTCTGTCGTGGGTGTCGAGGCTCCGTTTGAACGTGACATACTATACGGTGCCTAAATTGGGACATCCATTTGTCAGTCATCGTAGTTGTACGACAAATTGAACCGAATGGAAACGCTACTGCCACCAACAGATTTTGAAATCGATAGTGATAACATACCAGAACTTTCTTGGCATTACATATCCGCCATGCCAAGTTTCGAACATTTCCATCGGCGCGGACAACCTCAGGAGCAAATTCGATACCAAACCTGAGTAACTCGTTAGTGTGATGTTGCCGTGCGTATCAAGTTATAAAGCCGTTAAGCAGGGATTTCAAAAATATTAGATCACTTACATGTGCTGGACAGCAAACACTACTCTCTTCGAGTACTTCCCATCCCTTTCAACGAGGCAGCCATAATGTTCTTCAGCAGTTTGCGGTGCAATTTCCGGGTCTCTGTCAAAGCAATTTTGGACAACTGGTAGCAAAGCAGCTTCGACAGCCGCCCTCACGAGGCCGTAATTATCGGCTTCGACGATATCCTCATCGAATCTTCCAATGCGGATTTCAAAGGGACGCGAGACAGCCATAACATTATGCTTGCCGTTGTGGTGGTATCTGAATTCGAAGACACCTTGAGTCCACCAGAGTTTATCGCCTGAGAAAACCATTTCTCCAGATGCAACGTCGATTGGCTCGCAATCTTCCCGACATATTTTCATAACAATGTCACTCGAGACTAGGCCCTGCTCGCACGTCTCAGAGTCGAATGAAGCTTGGTTAGTAGCGATCCACCGGCCCTGGGATGCCACACTTGTGACCTCCCGCGAGGTATTATCAGTAACCATGTAGAGACCAATCCAATCCTTTTTACTATGGTTCAGTGGCGCGGTCCATTTAACTTTGATTGGAGCCCCGTATTCGAATATGAGGTTTTCTTGCTCGCCTCTCCTGAATTGCGTACATCGCGCTCTTTCGCCTTCCTTATCACTAGCTCTTTCGAATTGTGCTGGCTGGGAAGGCTGAGTACCTTCCAATGTAATAGAATAATCCTTTAGATCGTAGCCAGCTAGGTCCGGTTCAAGGCGAGAAATGGTGACTCGTGCCGGGTACTTTTGGAACAGGGCAGAGGTATCTTTCACGAAAGTCTGGACACCAGCAGCGAGCTTAGGCCGAGCGGCCTCAATGAACTCTTCAATAAATTCAAACGACTCATCGAGTATTTTGTCGACACTGCCATGGATTTGTTTTAGAGAGGGAGGCAATGAACGCTTCAGGCTCCTAACAAGGCCGGCATCTCGTCTCAGACTCTGGCCATAAAGTTTTTGCATATGGGGACGTTCGACCAACTGGATAAACGCAAGGGTTAAGGTATGGCTTAATAGTGCAAGAAACACAAGAGACTTGGTGCTAGTGATTAAAACCGCTCCCCAGACGCCTGCTAAACCGAGGACGCGCT